GAAGGAGGGAGGAGAGAGAACTAGGAGTTTAGAATCAAGAATCCAAGGGGAAATAGCCTAGAAAGAGTGGGTCCAAGACAGAAACTCCAGGCATTTGAGGCCCTGGTTTCCTTACTCCAAGCCATCTGGATAGTGCTCCAGAGGAACAGGATGCTGTGACTTTAAATGGCTTTAACGTTGTCAAAGAATCTGCTCTGCTAAAAGAGTTATCCTCTTGCTCCTGCGCTTGGCCTCCCCCTCCTCTCAGCTCCCCAAACCCTTCTCAGCCGCTGTGATGGGATAATTAGATGCGAGAGCTCAGCACAGATGATGCTCCAGTTGCTTAGCAACTAATGGTTTCCATGGAGACCGCAAAGCACAGCCTCTAGAGCAGCCAGTGAGCAGCTCGGCAGGGCAGGGAGAAGACGCAACTCTCCGCTCCTCCAGAAACCTGGGGAGGGCTGAGGTTGGGGAGGGGGAAAGGATTGGAGAGAGAAGGGAGGGCTTAAAGGCACAGGGTCCTCTTATCTCTTTAAAATCTGATCAGAGTTCTGCCCTTCCCTACCCAATTCTGTCCCTCTAGTAATTTCATACTCAAATGAGGACTACGGAGTGACCCAACATAACCTACCCTGCAATAAACTCTTCTCTTGTTTGCTTCCTGGTTTGTGACTTAAGTGGAGAAGAGATACCCCCACCCCAGCTCAAGTGTAAATAAACATCTTTCCTGGTTAGTGCTTTGATTTGAGAAAGATTCCCCCACCCCTGGAATTTCAACTTTAGTGTGCAAGTTCCTTTTAGTGTGCAAAAGGTCCTCCTTCAGTTTGCAGAGTGAGTGGTAGGATCTTATCTAAGGGGGGAAGGGACAAAAGGTGCAAAAAAAAAACCAGAATTAAATTCTTCACCAAAAAGCTGCCTATCTTGGGAGACTGGGAAGAAACACCTGCCCCTGAGTTCTGTCAAAAAGTACCCAATGGTGGTGGTGGCAGTGGTGGGGTAATACATAGAATTTGGCAAGTCGGGTTCCCAGACCAGCACCAACAGGCAGCTCCTTAGCAATGCAGAATTTCAGGCTTCACTCAGACCCACTGAATCAGAAACTAGATTTGAACAAGACTCTGGTGATACCTGTGTGACTTGGGCTCCTCCTGAGTTCTATCTTTACTGCTACCCCTGCTCCCATCCCAGGCCCTTTAAGCTTATCCTTCTCTCCACGGGGAATGAGGACACAACCCACACCATCACCATCCCCTCATTTCTCTACTAAGGCTCAGATCTTCTGCAGCTGGGGAAGACAGACTGGTTCATGGAGCACAGAGATATATGAGGGGCTTTCAAAAAATTCACAGAAAAATGGAATAGAAAGATAATGAAAAATTTCTGTGAACCACTCCCATACAGCCACAGTCTCTGTAGAATTCTCTGACCTTTCTCCATTAGTGTTCAACCTTTTACAAGTGACCCCACCTGTTGGTCTGTTTCTACATCTGTAAACCCCACTGCCTGCCATCAAGTCAATTCTTACTGGATAAGACAGAGTAGACTGTAGTAATAGACTGCAGGGGTTCGAGATTATACCTTTACAGAGCAGACAACCTTATCTTTCTCAGAGCAGCTGGTGGGTTTGAAGCTCCAACCTTGCATTAGCAGTCTGACAGTTAACTCACGGTACCACAGGGGTCTTTACATGAACAAAACTCAAATCAAATCAAACCCACTGCCATGAGTCAATTTTGACTCAGGGAGACCTCCTCCTGTACAGGATTTCCAAAGCTATAAATCTGTGTTGCTGTTAAGTGCCGTCGAGTTGGTTCCGATCCATACCAACCCTGTATAGGGTTTCCTAGGAGCAGCTGGTGAGCTTGAATCACCGACTTTGTGGTTCAAACTGACTTTGTAGTCTCCAGCACATTAGCCCACAGCACCACACCAGGATTTTAGTGGAGCAGAAAGCCTCATCTTTCTCCCTTGGAGCAGCGGGTGGGTTTGACTTACCAATCTTGAGTTAGCAGTCAAGTGCTGATCCTATAGCTTCACCAGAGTGTCTACATCTACAAAAGGGAGCGCTACTATCTGCCTCTCTAGGCTCCTGGAGTGACGCTGTAGGGTCAGCACTGGACTGCGAATCAAAAAGTCGGTAGTTCAAACCCACCAGCTGCTCCTCAGAAACCCTGTACAGGGTTGCTATGAGTCAGAATCAACTCAATGGCACTAACAACAAGCGCTATCTGTTAGGCTGCCTGTGAAGAGTTAAGTGTGTGTTGGTGTTGTTGCTGTTAAGTGCCATTGAATTCGTTCCAATTCCTAGTGACCTGTCCAATGGATGGTGGGTTTGAACTTCCAACCTTGCAGCTAGCAGTCCAGTGCTTATCTCACTGTGTGGGAGCAGGCAAAACCCTTGCCCATGCCCAGAGTAGGTGCTTCTAGCTCGCCTCTCCTCTCCTCCCTCATTTCTCTTTAACTGAGCGCTGGGCAGATGCAGTCAGAGAAGTTGCTGCTATTTTCTTCATTTTTTCTCACCAGGTCTCTTTCTCCTCTTTACTTTAATCAGTTCATCTTGAATGGTTGCTGACCAAGGCTCTCTGTGCTCCCCCTCTCGGCAACCCTCCCCTGAAGGACTCTGGTCTTCCATACAGCCCTCCCCCTAGCCTCCAGAAAAATCTGAAGCCTTAGGCATTTGGCCTGACTACCTCTGCTCTGTGCCTGTGGCCAGAACCCCAGGTCTCCCTGGCACCCACAGCCATACCTCCCCCAGACCTGCAGGACAGGGCGGGGTGCTCAGTTAACACCAAGAGTGGGCCCTTTAGCTCAGCTGCTCCATTCCTACCACCAGTCTGTTTCTCCCCCATTCTGTTCCAGCTGAAATCCTTTCAGGAGCCCATCAGACTTACTCTCCTCTTTCCCTCACTCCAGGGCAACCTCAGAACATGCAGTTCTCCTGGGAAGACCCCACAGCAGGGGAGGGGAGCCAGACCTCCAAGGCCACTCCCAAGGCACAGGACCTGGAAACATTCCCATCCCCCACCATAGCCACATAGCTTTATATTTGTTTCAAAGATCAGCTCAAGAAGACAAAATCAGGTACTACAATAAAATATGCAAAATTTGGAACTAGAAAACCAAAAGGGAAGAACACGGTCAGCATTTCTCAAACTGGGGGAACTGAAGAAAAAATTCAAGTCTTGACTTTCGTTATTGAAAGATTCCCTGGGAAAATTATTGAATGATGCAGAATGCATCAAGAGAAGATGGAAGGAATACACAGAATCATTGTATCAAAAGGAAATGGCTAATGTTCAACCATTTCAAGAGGTACCATATGAACAAGAGCCAATGATACTCAGGGAGGAAGTCCA